ACAGTTTCATACAACCATTCGACTGGCCTGCACTGCCCATCGATACATTGTCAAGTATTCCTCTTGATCGCAGGAGCCTTAACGCATTCACCACAGGGAACCTCGTCCTAGTTCTTAGTCCAAAGGCCTACAAAGACCTTTTTATTCCTACACCTCTTCCTAGCTCGAACGAAGCCTCCTATCAAACCATATTGTGATTTGTATTTGCATTGCATTGCATATATATTCCACTGTGAGCGTGGCCTTCTTTGCTGTTATTTGGGCTTAAAGGTGCGTCGACAGCCACGGTCATTTTGCGCTCAAACTATGGCTGTGCAAGACTATGTTGCGTTAAATCAAGTAAGATCGCTGTTGTATGTTTCCGAAACGTGTGAAAAAACACAAGATGAGCAAATTGAACGGTCGCAACACGCGAAGTGCAACGCAGGTGCGCTAGGGTGCTGTTAGCTAGGGTCGTGCGGCGTCAGAATATGGCGTAACCGTGAATAAATGATCGTGAAATCGATGTCGTTGAGAAATGCAAGAACCTGCTCTCACGTCGATGGTGGAGTCCTCGCCTATGAGTGCACGCAAGGACAATTGATGTTGCATATGACGACCAAAGCGACAATAGCGCTCCGTGGGACAGTGAGGGCACTGCATGAGGACATGAGCGACGGAGAGCACGTGATCACAGCGAGGACATGCTGGTGCTTGCGCTGCTAAGAGGAGGAAGCTATGTGTCCCGTGTGTATGATGTACGCGGATGCGGCACAGACTGACTTCCTCCCTCCTACTATCACGATGAAAGAACTACCACTCGCCTGGGTTTCAGTCCTTTTATCACCACAAGAACGCCCTGCCGTAGACCTCGAGCATCATAGTGTCGGAGCTTTACATGCTGACAAAGATCAATATCAATATGCAGTAAGGTGGCAGCTATTTCGCAGCCTGGATCATTGGAACTGTTCACAGTGCGGGGCCTTTTTGGTCTTCTCAACTTTTCTCGGTAACAACAGGAATATCTACCATATTTTGACTCTGTCACACGAGACCATTACAT